CTGTCAAGCCTTCACTGTTGGACTCCGCATGCCTGCTGGTGTAATACTACATGAAAGCTACCAAGACTTAAGACTTGCATTCTCCAAAGTGGCAGTTCAAGCTGTCCCTGGGCCCCTTTGGCCCCCGGCTTGAGCTGGAGTGGATAGGATGTGGGAAGCAGTGTCCTGAAGCTGTGCAGTGTAGTAGAGTCCTTGGCCTGCCCTATGAAATCATTCTTTCCTCCTAGGCCTCTGGGATGGCGAAGGAAGTAGTTGCCATGAAGTTCTCTGAAACTCCTTAAAATTCTTTTTCCTGTTGTCTTGGGTATCAACACTTGCCTCCCTTTTAGTTATTCAAATACCTATAGCAAATGTTTGTTTCACAGCCTGCTTAAATTCCTCTCCTAAAATGAAAGCATTTTTCTTTCTTTGCTGTATGACTACCCTGCAAATTGTCCAAACTTTTATACTCTGCTTTCTGTTTAAATATGAATTCTAACTTTAAGTCATGTATTTTCTCCCACAACTGAGAATATGCTGCTAGAAGCAGCCAGGCCACATCTTTAATGCTTTGCTGCTTTGAAATTTCTTCCACCAGGCGGGACGATCCAAGATGGCCATTTAGGAACAGCTCAGGATTGCAGCTCCCAGTGAAAGCGCAGAGGGTGAGTGGACGCCGCGTTTTTATTGCCCACAGACTAGAAAATTCCTGGGCAGAGGTGCTCCACAGTCGCCAGCGTGGCTGTTTCGGCCAGCGCCGCTGCTTTGCCCCGCACGGCTGCTTTGTCGGCGCCCCGGAACCGCGGTTCTCCGTACAAAATACACCGGGCCGGGGGCCCTTTTGTCTGGCGATTGGAGCCACGGGAAGTCACCCATACGCCGGTTCAAAAAGGGGACTGAACAGAGAACCAGGACAGTAGATTCCAGGGCAAAAAAAAAAAAAAAAGCGCCACAAACCTGAGTGCCGCTGTTTAAGCCAGCACAGTGAGTGGCCGCAGGGGAAAACAAACAGACCCCGGCGCCTCTTCAACAGGCGACTGGAGCACCAACTGAAAAAAGGCTCTGAGGCAGAGAGCCAGGCGATCAGGCTCGGCTGGCCCCACCCCCACAAAAGAACAGCAACCAGAAACTCTGGATTGAGAGTTTCACAGCAAGTGCAGCTGAACCCGGGACAGTCCAGCTCTGTGGGGGAGGGGCGTCTGCCATTACCGAGGCAGCCCGCCGTTGCCAAGGCAACCCGCCACAGCAGAGACTCTGCCCCAACAGAGGCGGGCAACCATCGCCAAAGCAGTTCTAACTACACCCATATAAACAGGACTGCAGGGAAGTTCACTCCACAGTGGGGTGGAGCCCACAGCAGCTCAGCAAAGCTGCTATAGGCCTACAGTGACTAGGCTGCCTCCTTGCTGGGCTGGGCAGGTCTTAAGGAAAAAAAAAAAAAAAGAAGGCGGCAGCATAATGAAAACTCATAAATAAAGCCCTAAATCCCTGGGACAGAGCACCTGGGAACAAAAAGCAGTTTATGAGTTCCGCTGCAGCAGACCTAAAAGTACCTGCCCAGCAGCTCTGAATGAACAACAACAGAGCTCGCAGCTCACCATTTGAGCTCCTATAAACAAGAGACCATCTCCTCAAGCAGCTCCCTCACCCCTATATATCCAAAAAGACACCTCATAAAAGAGAGATCAGATTCACATTAGGCAGGTATCCTTCTGGGACAAAGATAGCAGAAGAAGAAAACTGGTAACAACCCTTGCTGTTCAGCAGCTGCTGCAGGTGAACCCCAGGTAAGCATGGCCTGGAGTGAACCTCAGCAGACCTAGAGCAGAGGGGCCAGACTGTCAGAAGGAAAACTAAGAAACAGAAATAACCTCATCATCAACAAACAGAACGTCAATCTGAAAGATTTGAGGCCCAATCTGAAAGCCAGCAACTACAAAGTCGACAGGTGGATAAATCCATAAAGATGGGAAGAAACCAGCGCAAAAAGGATGAAAACACCTGAAACCAGAACACCTCTCCTCCTAAAAGGGATCACAACTCGTCACCAGCAAGGGAACAAGGTTGGATGGAGAACGAGTGTGATGAAATGACAGAATCAGACTTCAGAAGGTCGGTAGTAAGAAACTTCTGTGAACTTAAAGAACATGTTCTAACCAAATGCAAAGAAACTAAGAACCTTGAAAAAAGATTTGACGAAATGCTAACAAGAATGGACAAAATAGAAAGGAATATAAGTGAATTGATGGAGCTGAAAAACGCAACACGAGAACTTCATGAAGCATGCACAAGTTGCAACAGCCAAATTGACCAAACAGAAGAAAGGATATCAGAGGTCGAAGATCAACTCAATGAAATAAAATGGGAAGGCAAGACTGGAGAGAAAAGGGTAAAAAGGAATGAACAAAGTCTCCAAGAAATGTGGGACTATGTGAAAAGACCTAATCTACGTTTGATAGGCGTACCCAAATGCGAAGAAGACAATGAATCCAAGCTGGAAAATACTCTTCAGGATATTATCCAGGAAAACTTCCCCACCCTAGCAAGGCAGGCAAACATTCAAGTCCATGAAATACAGAGAACACCACAAAGATATTCGTCAAGAAGAGCAACCCCAAGGCACATAATCGTCAGATTCACCAGGGTCGAAATGAAGGAGAAAATACTAAGGGCAACCAGAGAGAAAGGTCGGGTTACCCACAAAGGGAAGCTCATCAGATTCACAGCAGATCTCTCAGCAGAAACCCTACAAGCCAGAAGAGAATGGGGGCCAATATTCAACATCCTTAAAGAAAAGAACTTTCAACCCAGAATCTCCTATCCAGCCAAACTAAGCTTCATAAGTGAAGGAAAAATAAAATCCTTTGGGAACATGCAAGTGCTCAGAAATTTCGTCACCACCAGGACCGCTCTACAAGAGCTCCTGAAAGAGGCTCTACACATATAAAGGAACAACAAGTACCAGCTCAACTAAAGGGCAAAACAGCCACCTAGCACCAAAATGGCAGTATCAAATTCACACATTACAATATTAACCCTAAATGTAAATGGACTAAATGCCCCAATCAAAAGACACAGACTGGCAAATTGGATAAAAAGACAAAACCCATCAGTGTGCTGTATCCAGGAAACCCATCTCACATGCAAGGATACACACAGGCTCAAAATAAAGGGATGGAGGAAGATTTACCAAGCAAATGGAGAGCAAAAAAAAGCAGGAGTTGCAATTCTCAAATCTGATAAATTAGACTTTAAAGCAACAAAGATCATAAGAGACAAAGAGGGACATTACATAATGGTAAAAGGATCAATGCAACAAGAAGAGCTAACGATCCTAAATATATATGCACCCAATACAGGAGCACCCAGATACATAAGGCAAGTTCTTAATGACTTACAAAGAGACTTAGACTCCCACACAATAATAGTGGGAGACTTTAACACCCCATTGTCAACATTAGACAGATCAACCAGACAGAAAATTAACAAGGATATCCAGGACTTGAACTCAGACCTGGACCAAGCAAACCTAATAGACATTTACAGAATTGTCCACCCCAAATCCACAGAATATACATTCTTCTCAGCACCACATCACACCTACTCTAAAATTGACCACATAATTGAGAGTAAATCACTCCTCAGCAAATGCAAAAGAATGGAAATCAAAACAAACAGTCTCTCAGACCACAGTGCAATCAAGTTAGAACTCAGTATTCAAAAACTAACCCAGAACTGCACAGCTTCATGGAAACTGAACAAGTTGCTCTTGAATGTTGACTGGATAAACAATGAAATGAAGGCAGAAATAAAGATGTTCCTCGAAACCAACAAGAATGAAGACACAACATACCAGAATCTCTGGGACACATTTAAAGCAGTCTCTAGAGGAAAACATATAGCAATAAGTGCCCACATGAGAAGCAAGGAGAGATCAAAAATTGACACCCTATCGTCAAAACTGAAAGAGCTAGAGGAGCAAGATCAAAAAAACTCAAAGTCTAGCAGAAGACAAGAAATAGCTAAGATCAGAGCAGAACTGAAGGAGATAGAGACACAAAATACCCTTCAAAAAATCAATAAATCCAGGAGCTGGTTTTTTGAAAAGATCAACAAAATAGACAGACCACTAGCCAGATTAATAAAAAAGAAAAGAGAGAATAACCAAATTGATGCAATAAAAAACGATAAAGGGGATATCACCACAGATTCCACAGAAATTCAAACCATCATCAGAGATTATTACAAACAACTCTATGCACACAAACTAATAAACCTGGAAGAAATGGATAAATTCCTGGACACTTGCCTCCTGCCAAGCCTAAACCAGGAAGAAGCCGAAACCCTGAACAGACCCATAACAAGGTCTGAAGTTGAGGCAGCAATTAAGAGCTTACCACCCAAAAAAAGCCCAGGTCCAGATGGGTTCACAGCTGAATTCTACCAGACATACAAAGAGGAGCTGGTACCATTTCTTCTGAAACTATTCCAAACAATACAAAAAGAGGGAATTCTTCCCAAATCATTTTATGAGACCAACATCATCCTGATTCCAAAACCCGGCAGAGACTCAAAAGAAAAGAAAACTTCAGGCCAATATCCATGATGAACATAGATGCAAAAATCTTCAATAAAATACTGACAAGCCGATTGCAACAGCACATCAAAAAGCTTATCCACCATGATCAAGTAGGCTTCATCCCGGGGATGCAAGGCTGGTTCAACATACGCAAGTCTATAAATGTAATTCACCACATAAACAGAACCAAAGACAAAAACCACATGATTATCTCAATTGATGCAGAGAAGGCCTTTGACAAAATTCAACAGCCCTTTATGCTAAAAACACTCAATAAGCTAGGTATCGATGGAACGTATCTCAAAAATAATAAAAGCTATTTATGACAAACCAACAGCCAATTTCATACTGAATGGGCAAAAACTGGAATCATTCCCCTTGAAATGTGGCACCAGACAAGGATGCCCGCTCTCACCACTGTTATTCAATATAGTATTAGAAGTTCTAGCCAGAGCAATCAGGCAAGAAAAAGAAATAAAGGGCATTCAAATAGGAAAGGAGGAAGTCAAATTGTCTCTATTTGCAGACGACATGATTGTATATCTAGAAGACCCCATAGTCTCAGCCCCAAACCTCCTGAAACTTATAAGCAAGTTCAGTAAAGTCTCAGGATACAAAGTCAATGTGCAAAAATCACATGCATTCTTATACACCAATAACAGACTTAAAGAGAGCCAAATCAAGAACGAACTTCCATTCACAATTGCCACAAAGAGAATAAAATACCTAGGAATACAACTAACAAGGAATGTAAAGGACCTCTTCAAGGAGAACTACAAGCCACTGCTCAACGAAATAAGAGAGGACACAAACAGATGGAGAAACATTCCATGTTCATGGTTAGGAAGAATCAATATCGTGAAAATGGCCATACTGCCCAAAGTAATTTACAGATTCAATGCTATCCCCATCAAGCTACCAATGACCTTCTTTGCAGAACTGGAAAAAACCACCTTAAACTTCATATGGAACCAAAAGAGAGCCCGCATAGCCAAGTCAATTCTAAGCAAAAAGAACAAAGCGGGGGGGCATCACACTACCAGACTTCAAACCATACTACAAGGCTACAGTAATCAAAACAACATGGTACTGGTACCAAAACAGAGATATAGACCAATGGAACAGAACAGAGGTCTCGGAGGCAACACAACATATCTACAACCATCTGATCTTTGACAAACCAGACAAAAACAAGCAATGGGGAAAGGATTCCCTGTTCAATAAATGGTGTTGGGAAAGCTGGCTAGCCATGTGCAGAAAGCAGAAACTGGACCCCTTCCTGACACCTTACACTAAAATTAACTCCAGATGGATTAAAGACTTAAACATAATATCTAACACCATAAAAACCCTAGAAGAAAATCTAGGCAAAACCATTCAGGACATAGGTGTAGGCAAGGACTTCATGACCAAAACACCAAAAGCATTGACAACAAAAGCCAAAATAGACAAATGGGACCTAATCAAACTCCACAGCTTCTGCACAGCAAAAGAAACAATCATTAGAGTGAATCGACAACCAACAGATTGGGAAAAAAATTTTGCAGTTTACCCATCGAACAAAGGGCTGATATCCAAAATTTACAAAGAACTAAAACAGATTTACAAGAAAAAAACTAACAAGCCCATTCAAAAGTGGGCAAAGGATATGAACAGACACTTTACAAAAGAAGATATACATGAGGCCAACAAACATATGAAAAAATGCTCATCATCACTGGTCATCAGAGAAATGCAAATCAAAACAACATTGAGATACCATCTCAAGCCAGTTAGAATGGCGATCATTAAAATATCTGGAGACAACAGATGCTGGAGAGGATGTGGAGAAATAGGAACACTTTTACACTGTTGGTGGGAGTGTAAATTAGTTCAACCATTGTGGAAGACAGTGTGGCGATTCCTCAAGGACCTAGAAATAGAAATTCCATTTGACCCAGCAATCCCATCACTGGTTATATATCCAAAGGATTACAAATCGTTCTACTATAAGGACACGTGCACACGAATGTTCATTGCAGCACTGTTTACAATAGCAAAGACCTGGAACCAACCCAAATGCCCATTGACGATAGACTGGATAGGGAAAATGTGGCACATATACACCATGGAATATTATGCAGCCATCAAAAACGATGAGTTTGGGTCGTTTGTAGGGACATGGATGAACCTGGAAACCATCATTCTCAGCAAACTGACAGAAGAGCAGAAGATCAAACACTGCATGTTCTCACTCATAGGCGGGTGTTGAACAGTGAGAACACATGGACACAGGGAGGGGAGCACTACACACTGGGGTCAGTTGGGGGGAAATAGGGGAGGGATGGTGGGGGGTGGGAAGCTAGGGAGAGATAGCAAGCGGAGAAATGCCAGATGTAGGCGATGGGGAGGAAGGCAGCAAATCACACTGCCACATGTGTTCCTATGCAACAATTTTGCATGTTCTTCACATGTACCCCAAAACCTAAAATGCAATAAAATAAATAAATGGGAAAAAAAATAAAGAAATTTCTTCCACCAGATACTCTGTCATACTGAAGTCGAATCTTCCACATATTGCTAGAGCATGGACACAATGCAGCCAAGCTCTTGACTAAGGCATAACATGGCTGACGTTTGCTCCAGTTCCCAATAAGTTCCTCATTTCTATCTAAGACCTTGGTAGCCTAGACTTCACTGTCCATTTCACTATCAGCATTTGGTCACAACCATTTAACCAGTTTCTAAGAAGTTCCAAACTTTCCCTTATCTGCTTGTCTTCTTCTGAGCACTCCAAACTCATCCACTCTCTACCTGTCACCATATTCCAAAGCTGCTTCCATATTTGCAGATTTCTCTATAGTAATGCTCAACCTTTAGTACCAATTTTCTGTGTTAGGCCATTTTTGCATTGCTATTAAAAAAAATGTCTGATACTGGGTAATATATAAATAACAGAAGTTTAATTGGCTCATGGTTCTGCAAGCTATGCAGGAAGCATGCCACCAGCATCTGTTTGACTTCTAGGGAGGCCTCAGGAAGCTTTTATTCATGGCAGAAGGTGAATCAGGCGAAGGAACACTACATGGCAAAAACAGGAGCAAGAGGGAGTGGGTAGGAGCCACATATTTCTAAATACAAGATCTCATGAAAACTCACTATTATGAAGACAGAAATAAGCCATTCATGAGGGATCTGCCACCATGACCCAATCCTTGCCCCCAGGCCCTACCTACAACATTGGGGATTACATTTCAACATGAGATTTGAGTTGGGCCAAATATCCAAGTATATCCAGGCCAACTATCCAAGTATAAAAGAGAATGGAATATATTCAAAAAAATGAAAAGAATAAAACTTACCAACCAATAACACTATACCTACCCTTGCTATCCTTCCAGAAATAATGAAGAAATAAATTATTTCCCAGACAGGCAAAAGCTTTGAAAAATTATCACCACCAGACAAGTCCAAGAGAAAATAGTTAATAAACTTGTACATCTATAGGCAAAAGTATGGTATCTATCATCATGAAAACATACAAACGTGTAAAACTTACTTATAAAGCAGATACACAAATGATAAATTAAATGGAGACAAATGCTATCAGCACAAAATCTACTACATTGTAACATAAATAATAAAAGAGAAATAAATCAAGGATATCCAAAAGAATTTGAAAACCATTAGTAAAATTGCAGGAATAAGACATCACCTATCAATAATAGCCTTAAATGTAAACAGTTTAAATCCCCAATTAAAACACATAAACTGGGTGAATGGATTGAAAAAATAAAAAGACTCAACTACATGTTGCCTACAAGAAACTCATTTCACCTGTAAAGACACATATGGACTGAAAATGAAAGGAGGAATAAAAGAATATTGGATGCAAATTGTAACCACAAGTGCACAAAGGTAGTTATATCAAATAAAATAAATAAGTCAAAAAATATTTAAAAGACACGAAGAATGTTATATAATTATAAAGAGATCAACTCAGCAAGAGAATATAACAATTGTAAATATGTATACCCCAACACTGAAATACCCAGATATATAAAGCAAATATAGTTAGAGCCAAAGAAACAGATACATCCCAATACAATAATAGTTGGGGACTTTAACACCTGACATATCATTCAAAAGGCTATATAGACAGAAAATAGCAGAGACTCACTAGGATTAATCAGCACTATAGAAGAAATGAACATAACAAACATTTACAGAACATTTCATACAACATCTACAGAATACACATTCTTCTCATTAGCTGATTGAACACTCTCCAGAAAAGACCATATATGAGGCCACAAAACAAGATTCAACAAAGTGTTAAAAATAAAAATCATATCAAGTATATTCTCAGAACATATTGAAAGTAAAAATGAAATCGAAAAAGAAAAAATTTGGAAACCACAGAAATTAAACAACATGTTCCCAAATAATCATTAGGAAAATAAATAAATTAAGAAAAAAATCTTGAAACAAATTAAAGTCACAGCAAAAAATATGTGACATAGAAAATAAGTACAAAGAAGGAAGTTTATAGGAGTATACACCTCCATCCAAAAAGTGGAAACATTTCAAATATTTCAACTTAATAATGAAACTCAAGGAATAAAATAATCTAAACTCAAAATTAGTAGAAGGTAGAAATAATAAAGGTCAGAGCTGAAGTAAACAAGACTAAGACTAAATAAACAATGTAAAGGATAGAAGAATTAAAAGGTTGTTTCAAAAAAAATAAATTGATGAACTCCTAACATTAATAACCAATAACAAAAGAGAGAAAACACAAATAAAATTAGAAACAAAAAATAAAAACAAAGACATGAATAATAATAGTATGAAAATAAAATAGGTCATTAGAGACAATTGAAACTATTGTACTAGTCCATTTTCATGCTGCTTTAGAACAGCCTGAGAATGAGTAATTTATAATGAAAAAGTATTCCATTGACTCACAGTTATGCAGGATTGCAGAGGCCTCAGGAAATTTACAATCATGGCAGAAGGGGAAGCAAATCATGGTAGAATGGGAAGAAAAAAAAAAAAAAAAACTACCTTCTTCTCATGGCAGTAGAATAGGGAAGAATGAGTTCCCAGCAAAGGGAAAAGCCTGTTATAAAATCATCAGATTTTGTGAGAACCCACTAAGTATCGCAAGAACAGGATTGGGAGAAACACCCCCATGATTCAATTATCTCCATGTGGTTGCCCCTTAATACGTGAGATTATTGCAATTCAAGGTGAAATTTCGGGTGGGAACACAGCCAAACCTAACATTCCACCACTGGGCCCTCCCAAATCTCATATCCTCACAATTCAAAACACAATCATGCCTTCCAACAGTCCCCCAAAGTATTAACTCATTCTAGTATTAACTTAAAAGTCTAAGTTCAAAGTCTCATATGAGACAAGGCAAGTCCCTTCCATTTATGAATCTGTAAAATCAAAACCAAGTTAGTTACTTCCTAGATGCAATGGGTACAGGCATTGGGTAAATACATCCATTCCAAAT